CCCTGGCAAGTATAATGCAGTCAAACACGGGTATATCGAACTCGAAAGTTGTCACCTTGAAATTTCCTTGTTAAAGTATAGAAATTTGCACATTTATATTGAACGGTATTTTTACCCACCTTCGGATATATTGAACGCCACGCGAGCTGGATGACGCGCTTCAGCACGCGCCCCTCCGCGATCTCCATGAGAGTTGGAAGGCGCCAAATGCATTAAAAAAAGGTAAGGGCGAGAAGGCTCGGAATGCAGTCCCTAACTTGCAGAACGGCTTTTTTTTTTTTTTTTGTTCTTTCTCTCTCTTTTTCATGCTTTCCTCCTCCGCAGACCCGTCGGGTCGGCTCGGAGAGCAGGAACGAAGGAGTCGATGTCTCCTCCTTTCGCCTTTTCTTTTATTTTTTTGTTGCTGTTTTGCGAGTTTTGATCAGCCAACCACAGCTCGCTTCTTTTGCTGTTGCCTTCAAAGGTGGCGAGCGCTTCATTGCTTTAGTTGTCCCGTTGCCTACGTACCACCACTTGTGCAGCATTCCTCTTTTGCATGCATCGTGTGCGAATCTGCTACGGATTCCTTCTCGTTTTCGTGTAGCTATGGCCAGCGTCAAGAAGCACAAGACCCTTGACTTTGCGATAAAGTTGAAGGCAATTCAGCGTGTTGAGGCGGGCGAGAAATGTTCGATTGTCGCGGATGACTTCGGGATACCACGGAGCACGCTGATTACCTTGTTTAAAAACAAGGCAGACATCAAGGCAAAGGTGGTGGAGCAGCGAACGTCAGGAGCCTGTCGTGTGTCCGCTCCTGCCCACAGGAGTCTAGGAAAGGCACTCTATGCCTGGTTCTTAGAAGTGCGAGCTGAAATTATTCTGGTAAGTGGCCCCATGCTGATGGCCAAGGCCAAATGGTTTGCCGCTGCACTCGGTAAAGACAGCTTCGCCGACAACACCGGGTGGCTTCACCGATTTAAGGAGGGAGGTGGCATTGAAAGAAAACTTTCTTATTTTTTGACCTACAGCAATAAAATTTGGCATGCACACTCATAAGTGTCTCAAATAGGTAAACATGCAGTTTCATCATGATAGCTACAGTAGTTCTCAAGTTACATAATGCTACACGATCCAATTAGATGGTCTGCTCGTGGAAAGCCTAGCGCTGCAACAAAACATGCCAGGAAGCTGCGAATGGTGTTGATATTTACTCAAAAGAAAGCTACAGGGTATGGCACTCTCAGAATTTTTTAATAAGTTCTTTTTTTTTTTAGAAATCATCATGGCTGCCGACACACATTGTCAGAAACAGTGGCACGGACAAATCATCGTCAAAAAAAATAACACGGCCATAAAACAGAAATTGAAGATTGCTGCACCCACAAGCAGGGTTCAGGGATTCAGGGAAAAAAAAATCAAAATCGGTCCAGCCATTCCCGTGCTACTCTTTCCACGAGCAATGCACAATGTCCAAAACACACTTGTGAGAAAAAGCCTGTCGAAGTTTTCGACAAGCTTTTTTCAATGAACTTTTTTGTTTCTCCTTGGATATTGATGAAAATTGTCACAGACACTAAGAATGACCTCACAGTGCTTCCATAAAAATTTTGAAGCGATACCACAAATACTTTACAAGAAACAAATTATTTCTTCATTGAACCATGTGGAGGGGCAGGCATAATGTCAAAAAAACAGTATCGAGAAAGCTGCGTTTAAAGTTTCAACTTTTCTTTACGTCTCTAAGACACCTAAAAATTGTGATCTCAGGTTTGTCTTGTGATAGTTGACTTCTTTTCATGATTTACAAAGCACAAGTATGGATTTCAAACCAAGTTCTTTGTATGAAGAAGTGGTGTGACAGGTATGACAGAAAAGATTGTAATTGAATAAAGCCATATACCGAAATTATTACACATACTTTTTTGTCCTGAAGTTGTAATTAGCGTAATTAAGTACTTAATTACAAATATTCACTGAACTTTTCTTTATTTGGAGAGAGGTTTATTGCATCAGAAAAATGGACCACACCATGACGACCTATGCCTTCTTTCTAAATAACAAAGTTATGGGCAGAAGACTGGTGGCACAGGAATTTCTAGCAGTATAATTAATGACATGAAACGGGCATATGAAAATTCGTGCCCCTGATTCATACATGCTCTTTCGCTGCTCTAGCCATGAAACGCATCATCATACAGCCGGTCGCGGAAACTCTCATCTACAGCACTTCGTTAACCTCGGAACATTCATAGACGTTCGTGGTGATATCAAGCACGGCTCCAAGCACGTCTGAATCGCATCACAAAAGCTTATTGACAGCACTCCACATGACCGTGGGGTGCGCGGCCGCGTGGACAGTGCAGCCGGCGCGTAAAACCCGACCCACCTGTTAGACGAGCGGCGGCTTTTATACGCGGCCACTGTTCAAAACAGCAGTTACAGGGCTGCAGTTCTTCCCATTTTGTTTACGTACTTGCATCATGCGTGTTGTAATTGAAATTGCAGCACACACGCACACGCTATGAAGTCAGTAAAAAGTTCATATAACAACGCTCCCTCATTTTGGACGAATATGGCAGTTGCGCAATTGCATGTTTTGGTTTCACTGCAAAATCTAGAAGAATTTCAATACATCGCAGTTATTACTAGAAGCTACTTTCCCGAAATCTCAAAGTGTCAATGGGTTCTTCACATTCTAAGATGCCCTCCTAAGATGCCTGCCGCTACAGAAAAAGCAACCGTGAAACAACGAGCAAATACCGCTTTTTGATGATATTAAAAGAATATTGGACACATTTCTTGAAACGTTCTGTATGTGTGTGCTACTTTCCAAAAAACATTGTTGGAAGTTCAGCGCTCATCGTCGTCAATGGTGTTCGGTCCATTGTGTATTTCTGCACTCTAGTGCACCAAAACTTTCATTATTCTTTCACAAGTACATTCAAAGACCAAGATCATTGCCAGAGTGTTTGAGTCTCATCATTTATGTTATGAAAATATAAATCGTCTTTTTTGAGTGCATGTGTAGTAAAACAAGCCCTTTTAACTCCCATACGCCCTTCCGTTATCGGCATCTGCAAAGAGCTTTCAACGTCATGTGATGTCTTGGAATCTGAATCGGCGTAATCTCAAGCTTTTAGGGCTAGACGACCGTTTCATCATGACACAATCTAACCAGGTTTTAGATGTATTTGACATTTCTTGACAAGTGGTGTCGGGCTTTATCGAATTACATCATCACATTGATAGGAGCAAGAGAAATTTTTTAAATGTCTCTTTTAGTGCAAAAATGCAGCAGCACATCAATACACGTTTCCTGACCATTGTCTTTGAATCTGAATCGGCATAATCTCAAGCTTTTAGGGCTAGACAACCCTTTTATCATGACAAAATCTAACCAGGTTTTAGATGTCTTTGACATTTTCTCTGACAAGTGGTGTCGGGCTTTATCGATTGACATCAAAGGTATTTTTTATTCCCAGCCTCAACCTAATCCTCGAGTGTGTTTGGCATTCTATTGACAAACACGGTTCCATCGCTTTTCAAAACTCTGCGGGGATCTCTGCTGGTGGTTTATTAGAACTTTTAAGCATTTATTATCAGTCTACATAGTTATGTTTGAAAGGATCCCATACTGCAGAATCAAGGGCATATGCACTCTTCCTGCGTTGCGCAGTTTGTAGAGACCAAGTTCTTGGTCACTTCATCATCAGATCAACGGCTTGCTCACCGATAAAATGTTCTTTGCATATTACAATATGTGATGATTACCTGATTGTTTTAAATTGTCATCTGCACAACTTAGAACTACAAAGCAAAGTTCTACTTGATGTGGTTGTTGATGTGATGAGCCCATTAACCCCCTTATTGAGAAACGCTGCTCGACTTGAATTTGACCTGCCACCAACTTAAATGCCGCAGAAAGACTTTTTGAACCCGCTGTCTTTAGGCGGTGCCAAAGTAGCACCAATGCATTTCAAACCCACTGCATTGAAGGCAGTTTCAAGTCAAGTCGAGGAGCGTTTCTGAATACGGGGGTTAGTCTAAGCCATGAACTCCCAGTAAATGGCCAAATTGGATTTTGACATATGTGGTTTTATTTTGCAGGTGTTAGCATCTGCTGGTGCTATGAACCGTGCTCTAACAGACCACTAATGAATTTCAAGTCCGCCCACTATAAGATTGTTAAATTAGCTATTGCAACATCATGCCTCAAAAACACTCTGGGCAAACCTTGCCAACACTCTACTTCTGAAGCATTTGAGCGTCAATTTTCGAATGACGACGCGCGAAACTGCTAGTCGCTGTTCCAAGCGATCCTTGGCCGTGAAGGGGAGGGGTTGACGAGTTTGACTGTGTTGTCCGCTGCTGATGCGTAAAATGCCCGTACGTGATTCAGAGGAGCTAGCGAGTGATGTGGTACATGCATTGCGAAGAAGCACGTCGCCAAGAGTGCGCTTGCATGTCGTTCCTGCCAGCAGTCTCGCTGTCAGCGGAGTTAGGCCTAAAGCCGACTCCGATGGCGCGCCGCCATCGTAGACCGCCGCGCGCCCGCTCGTAGTAATCACATCGTGCCGCCGCTTACAGCTTCGTTGCTTGCCAAGAAGCACGTCGCCACGAATGCGCTAGCGCGTCGTTCCTGCCCGCAGTCTCGCTGTAGGCGGAGATAGGGCTAAAGATGACTCCGATGACGCGCGGCGCTCGTACACCGCGCGCCCGCTCGTAGTAACCTGATTGCGCATTCGCTTACTGCTCGTAACTAAAGCGTATATCTTAAGTGATTATCAAGCCGTGAACACGTCACGAAGTGGCGATTTTCGAGAGCCATGTCCTCGCGACGCACAAGCAGCAGACGACGATCTCCCGGAGCGAGCATCGGGCCAATGGCGAGGCGAGCTGAGGCAACATGGCGGCCACGGCCAATCAAGGGCCTCAAAACGAACTTCAAACATTTGCTTTTTGCTTGCTTGTTGTTAAAGGGATGAGCAAGCTGAGGCGGGAAAGTTAAACACGGAGAAATGCTCTTTCCGATGAGCCCAAGAAACCAGTACAGCAGAACCACCATAAGAAGGAAGGGCTGCTGCAAAGTAGTTTGCGCTACACATGCACGCGCATGGCGACCTACGGTTACAGATAGCGTTGTTTATGCTTGCACCGAGTTGCACCTAACATGATTTCATGATGGCTATAAAAACAAAAGCCGCCTCTAAAAAAGCGTTCTTGTTCGGGCAGCCTTGGTCTGGCGTACTTCCTGGATGCTAGGCGCTCTGCCTATGACTCGATGTAGCACAGCGTTTTGGTTCTTTTTTTTTTTTAATAAAAGAATAAACAGTTAACTAACTGGCAGTTAAAAACGAAAATCGGCAGTTGACTGTCTTATTTCGACATCACATAAGATGGCGTCACGTGGTGATATCGTCACACGAAACTACCAAATAGCGAAAAGTGTGCCCATGGTAAAACAAGTGCAACCCCGAGCTTTCGATAAGGTGGTGGCACTGACTCAGAATTGACTGAGAATAAAAAGATCACAAATTTTCCAACACAGAATGAGTTCTACTCTCGGACATCTCCCAAGTCGTAGCGTCGCGTTGGACTTTCTGTGGCCGAGAAACTGCCACAGATACAAAAATGACTAGTGTGAGGACCCTGTTTACCACGTGCACTGCACTGGCACAAAGAAGTAGAGGCAAGCTGATCTGCAGCAATTTAGAAAAGTTTACAAGACTATCGGGCAAACAACTCTCTCGATGTGTGGAGGAACAGAACAATAAACTTTGTCTCAACGCAACCTTTACGACGCTTGGCGCAGCTTGATGCTGATTGTAGCAAAATGGCACAGTTTCAGCAACGCTGTACCTGGGTCGATGCCAAGCCACCAGGTGTCACTGACAGGAACCGAGTGCAGCCCCGTGCAGAGCCATCTGTGTAGCACCGGGCGGTGTCGTCCGTATGAGTCACCTGAAAAGACAGCCGCAGGAGGTATGTTTTCAATTAAACGTGGCCTGCCTTTATTAACTTAATAAAGAGACCGACAACTGCCCAGAGCATGAAATGAGATGACTCTACTGATTGAAAGATAGTCCTTCCCGATGACTCAAACCGACCCCTTTTTTCAAGAGAGGGGATTTATAGTATTTTAAATGTGAAGCATTTCTTTGCGAACTGTAGGCACTTTCAACATCTATCCGTCTACCCGTCCATCCATCTCTCTGTCCGTTGGAGCCTGTTTACTGGCCCTTAAAAAGCTCAAAATAGAGGTGGCTGGAACTTCTACAAAAGCAGAATGAAAACAGCTTCCAAGAATTGCGAGAAGAACTACGTGCTTTTGGGACTAACCAGTGTAGCTACAAACCATAGGAAGGGTGAGCTTTGTGTCATGCCGAAAAAAAAAATGAGTCGAGATCAATCAGCTATCTGTACCTTCAACAACAACCCTCAGTTGATTCGCAAAGCATTTTCAAACAGCTCAAAGCCGCACTGAACTTGGATAAGTAATTTGCAATATCTTAACCGTTAATCACACTCAATTTTCATTATAAATACAATTACTGCGGCTGCAGTATATATTTTAACAATACATGTCCTTTTATAGAACCTGAATATACACGAAATTCAATGCAGCTGTGCAGTTACTCAACTTATAACTTCATGACACTGAAGAAGAAAAAAAAAACTGACCATAGATTTAAATCGCCGTGACTGGGCCTTTTCTGCTGTCACCATGCCTGCCGAGGTTCAACGTAGAGCTCTGCAACACATGTTTACATCATGCGCCACATTTTTACACCAGCACACAAGCAATTTATAAGGGGATCAAGGCCTCCCGTTATACAAGAGAGGGTAGCATCACAGGGCAGCGACCACACATATTTAGAATTACATATGCAAATTAAGATAGATAAACACATAACAGATAAAGTGTTATTCTGAGTAAAATTTAGTGTTGTCAGAACTTTCACAAGCCACAAAACTTTGAGGCAATATCGATGTAGTGATGCCACCTCTGCAATTCAACAAATGCTTGTGAAGGTTATAAAAATGAATGTACAACTCCAAGTGTATTCAGGGTGTTCATTTAAGGTGTTTCTAACAACACCATCGAGGAAACACGGTACTTCATCCTCTTCTGCTAACTACTTACTTAACATTCTACTCGAACAAGTTACCCCTTACCGTCATCTAGGCATACACATTACCTCTTGTATAAGCTGGTCTCTGCATGTTCACTACATTACCACTGATGCAAATTGCATGCTTTGGTATATTCACCAAAACTTATCTGTGTTTGCCTCACTTCAACGACTAAAGTGCACATTACTAAGTAGTAGCGAGCTAGAATATGCCAATCCGAGTTAGGCTGATCCGAGTTAAGCTAATCTAATAAATACTCTCTAATTCATACAAAACAACTCGGCTTAGTTTCATTCTTTACAATCACATCCATTAAGCTAGCATATTTGCCATGAAGAACTCTCTTGAACTGCCGTCTCTTGCTTCTTGTCGTATGCTTTTCCGCCAGTGTCTTGTTTCACTAATTATATTTCTTTATTCTAGCTCTTTGTGCCACACTCATTTCCCTCCCTTCTTACATACGGGCTAGAATCGATCATTCAAATAAAGTTGGTGTAATGTAATGTACAACCAAAACATGCAGTGATTTGTTTATCCCTACAACGTCTGTAGACTGGAAACACGTTCCCGGACCTGTACCCACCATCATCGATCACTGCTTCTTCTATTCTGCACCATGTAGTATTCTACATCGAAGCCAACAAACTTACCTATCTTTTTCTACATAACCTCTGAACTTTCACTAACATTGTATGATATGTTTTGCCCCTCTCCCCAATAATGCCTTTTGGCCATATGGTATTATCAAATAAGTGAATAAATCAATAAAGTTAAAATTCCACATGGACACCATGAAGTGCTTCCTCTGCAGGCACCGAATGTGGCCGGTAAACTCGAGCTAGCTACCATCAGCACGTACCTTACCTCTGCCTACACTGCGCTAGAAGCTTAGTCACACAGTGGCAACCTGTTGTGCACAGTGTACAGAGGAAATGTGTGCAGCAGTACGATGATACCCGGTTTTTTTTTTTTTTTTCAACCACGTCAACCTCATGAACCATATTCAATTAATATGCAACAAATTACACAGCTAGAATCGCCCCCGCAAAAGACAGTACTGCCAGAAAATCCAATTCTACCGCTTGTCGAAATGTGTTCTTTTGCGGCGTGTATGACACTGTTTCACACATAAAAAGGAGACTAAGCAAAATCACTAGCGCTTCTTAAGGGTCACTAATTGGTATATTGAGTGCTTGAAATCGGGGGAGAGACGCTTCCCTTCCCCCCTTTATACCTTGAGTATCCCCCTTGGCAGGTTAGCTGTAGGACTGTCGCAACAGTTCCAGTTGATGCCGTGCTACAGCTGACCTGCCGAGGTGGGAGGCCTCAAATAATGGGGGGGGGGGGGGGGGGAGCGCTAGCTTTCTTGATTTTCAGCCCTCCATATACCATGTAGGTTCCGCTAAGAGGTGCAAATTATTTTGCTCGGTCTCCATTTTATGAATCTAGCCCACAGCAGCGTGCGAAACAGTGCCACACACAACGCAACTTAACACACGACCTGTCCTAGCGATACCTGCCTGATGTATGCCGCTCGACGGAAGTATCGTTGGCAGATAGGCCGGGTTCGTTGCATCGGGGCTCCTTTTGTTCCCCACGAAGTGCGCGCTGCATATCCGAGTATCGCCCCACACGGGCTGCCACAGATGCCTCTCTGACCTGAAGGAAAGGAAATTACGTTTAACACGTTACGAAATTGATCATGCAGATGCGCCGATTGGCGGCGTCCTGTTGTCCGGAACAGCTTGGCAGATAGCTGCACTGGACTGTTTATGCGCGTATTCTCGTTTGTTTCGCCACCACCCCTCGTTATAATAGTTATGCTACTGTGTACGGCGCTTATCGACTAGCCGGTAGACATTCGTGCGTTCAGGTTAAACATGAGGTGGGCTGCACCACACACGAACAAAAACAGCGGTCTGTTATTACCTTGCTCGTTGTACGGCAGTGATCCACGTGCTTTCCGGTTGTCATCGTACTTTCTCCAAGGGAATCGGTAGAATTCCACCTTTGGTAGCTTTCCTGCGGTGTTTCTGTAACTACTCTTGTGGCACCCTCCCGCACAATACACAGAAAATGCCCCTTTCGGCCGTTTCTCGCTTGGGCCCGCCACAAAACACCTAGGTCCGCCGTAGGTGTTCTGTGGGCCCGCCATGAATTCTCATACACCATACCGCGCGCTACTGAATCCTTTACCGGTTTTCCTAAAGACGGCGCCACTTGTCTTTTTTTTTTTTTTTTTTTGCAGCGTTTTTTGCGTTGCGCGGCGCAGCTAGGGTGGCTAGAATGGGCCAATTCTAGCCACCCTAGCGCAGCAGCCATCCCCACACAGAAGTGGCTCTTGCGCCGCATTGAAGTGACGTCACTTTTTGAAAAAGTCAACGCAAAGCTATTAAATAGTGCATTTTACTACTTTTTATTGCAATAAACTTACAAAAGTGTCATTAAACAAGTGTGTAACGTGTTTTTATTGTGCATAAGTTAATTCATTACGCATTGTATAAAAATATTTGTTTTGTATAGTGTTTTTGTAATATTAGTGTATATTGCTCAATTTAACAACCTAATGAATTCTTTGTTAGTTTATAAGTATCATTAAAAGGAAAATAAGTTGATTGTTTGTTCTGTGCTCGAGGGCGCAGCGGGTTTGCCCCTGGTTTCGGTTTGGAGCGTATTTTGATCCTACGACTACCCAAATACAGTACATGTGTACAGTATTGTACACATACAGTACACATACGTACAGTATCATACACAATACTGTACAGTACATGTGTACGTTCTACATCGCAATGTGTCATGTCAACAGCTTTCGCCGAACACCGTGTGATAAATCTGCATCGCAACGTCAACAGAGTGTTTCTTTGATAGACCGAGAGGAAATCGGTGGTCTAGTGTCAAATTGATGTGCATCCTTGCCTGTCAACAGAGTGTTTTTTTTTTTTTTTTTTTTGGTAGACCGAGAGTAAATCGGTGGTCTGGTGTCAAATTAATGGGCATCCTTGCCTTTCGTTCGCAAAATCTATGCGTCCAGTGACGCTGTTCTGGTACCACGTCTACTGCGGCGCGTTTTTCTGTTATCAGAGCCTCAATAAATAGCGCGAACAGCATTGCTTACCCAGTGGCGGAGGAAACGATGCAGTCAGTTGCATCGTTTTCACTTACGGGCCTGGAGTTTTGTGTCTCCTTGTACGTCTCGGCAAGAAAGTGCATCGATTGTTGAACAAGCATATAAATGTCCAATTCTGCGAGGATAATCAAACATTAGAAATCAAAGGAGGCGGCATTCAGGAAGATCAGTCCAATATGTGCTTAGGAGAAACTTGTTAACTTGTGTCGCAGACAGTACATTATTGTTATTGATTTCAGCAGTGCTCTGAGGGACGAGGATCTTTCAGTGCGCTGCTAAAATCAAGCATGCGATCCAACTTGCGTATGCAATTTTCAGTTTTCATGCAGCACATTATTGATCGCCCTATATGAAAAAGTTAACAAAAAAGTCATTTATGTACGTGCTATGCTTGCCACGTTAAGCTTCTGTGGTAACTATACCCTAGCTTGCACTGGATATTAAAATGTTCACATGCTTACACTCTGAGGAAGAGATGGTCCGCTTATTTCTTTTAAACAAATCTGGAATGTTGGCCATGTTGTCGCTTGTGCCTCTAGACCAGGTAGTCGTGTCTGGACCACAAAGCAAACCAGCTTGACCTCCCTCAAGCCCAGAGTCACACATCTTAATTCATGCGGCTACGATGTGCTGCTGCACTTCCACTAAGTATGAGTTGAATATGTTCGCAACTAGACTGCCATATAAAGCACTTGCAGGTGCTCTTCGGTTTTCTTTTCCTTTTTAGCGCGTTACAGTGCAGCGATTGGTTCGCAGGTAGGCCTTGCAAACTTTGTACGGCTATGGACAGGGCTGATTATTGTAGCTTCGTATGCATGTAGAAACCTTTTCCAAGTAGAAAGGTTATTATCATCAACATAAGAAAAAGGCATATGTTCTGTTCTAAGCTTTCGGTTTCGGAATGACATGTGACGATGCCAGGGACACAGCTCTGGCATCTAGGACATAGAGAAAGGAAAAGATAAGAGAGGACACTCCGCGAAACGTGGCCTTAGGAAGTGCGTCACGATTACGTAACGAACTAGTGCTCTCACCAAACGTCAGAGACGCAAGCGCAAAAAAAAAACAGTTATAATCAATGCAACAGAATTGTTTTTACAAAATAATAGTTATACGCCCAAATCTGGAATGTTGTTTATACATAAAAACAATTTATTCAACACACCTTGCGCGATTATTTTTCTTCAGCAGTACCACAGAGAAATAAAAAAAAAGGTTAAGAGTAGACACTCCCGTAGACCCCAGCGGCCCAATCGACCCTAGCACACCTGGTGGTTGGTGAGAGCAAGTGGTGTGCGCTTCTTGTTTCGGTTTCAATGGCGCAAGTTTTGAATTACTTTGCGTAACCGACGTTTGGCTATGACGAAAGTTCATGATTTCAGACCACTTTTCATCGCCCAAATGGATGGTTTTTGTAGGTTGTTTTAATTTATCGATTCCCTGTTTTGTTTTGTTCAGTGTTCGTGCGAATTGGTCGTAACGAAATTTTT